GTTTAAAAACCAACGTCAGCTCATTTTTTGAATTTATGTTTTTTCCTCAAATTTACAAACTGAGACAACCATTTATAAACCAAAAAAATTATCAAACAAGTTTTTATAATAGTTTTTAAAATTTTTGTAAATATAAATTGAAAACTGAAAACGAAATAGTTACCAAACAGGCCTTAGATGGTAAAAATGTCGTAAAATTAACAAATAATTAAATAAGTTACTAACGTAAGAAATGACTTATCAAAAGATTCTTAGGGTATGTATGGTTTGATTTTTAAATTTTTTTTAAAAAAATTAAAAATTAATTTGGTTAAGAAATAAAAAATAAAAAATAATTATCATTTTTATATAATTTTTATCTTTCGAGTGGTTAGAGATAATTTTTTACAAATTAAATTGAAACAGCCATACGTATGTATATAACCTACCCAAAAGTTAAAATGATAATTATTTTTTATTTTTTATTTCTTAACCAAATTAATTTTTAATTTTTTTAAAAAAAATTTAAAAATCAAACCATACATACCCTACGAATCTTTTGATAAGTCATTTCTTACGTTAGTAACTTATTTAATTATTTGTTAATTTTACGACATTTTTACCATCTAAGGCCTGTTTGGTAACTATTTCGTTTTCAGTTTTCAATTTATATTTACAAAAATTTTAAAAACTGTCATAAAAACCTGTTTGATATTTTTTCGGTTTATAAATTGTTGTCTCATTTTGTAAATTTGAGGAAAAAAACGTAAATTCAACAAATGAGTTTATGTTAATTTTTAAACAGAAATTTAAAAATTTTACTAACAAATTTTTTTTTTCAATTAATTTTTTTTCCAACTAATACTAACCGAGAGGGCAATTTGTAATGCTACTTTAAACCTTAGGCAAGGGATTGTAATTTCTAAAATGTGAGAGGTATCAATGTAATTTACTTAGTGAGGGCAAAATTGGTATTTAAAAAAATTAAATTTCTGAAGGGGGGAATCTATAATGAAACTTTAAACCTCAAGGGGGGAGATGTAATTTCCAAAAAATAAGGGGAGGAACTGTAATAAATATAAATCTCAGGGGGTGTTAGTGTAATTTACCCTATATTTCTTATTGAATCACTTGTAACTTGTAATTTTGTGTCAATTTAGTGTAATTAATAATACTGTTAATATTTTTGGTAAAAAATTATCACTGAATTTGTTGAGGTTAACTCAATGAGTTGAACAAATTTATTATTTTACCTTTAAAAGTATGACATATGTCACTTATATGCGTATTTGTCATTTAAAAATATTAACAAGTAGGGCTAATTACACTATTAGTCCTGTTGTTTTGGCTATTATGTCATTTTAGTCTTTGTAATTTCAATTAAATCGATTTTAACCTTGAATTTTTTATTCTGTCTCAAATTGATCCAATTTATAGCATTTTTTTTTATGACAAATGGAACCTGTCATCGATGACGGAGTAAAACAAAATACTTGGTCAATTCAGTGACTAAGCCTTAACCAATCCAATGAAAATTTTCTATTAAAGACCCTGAAGCTGTTATTAATTCGAATAAATTGACGTAAAATCTAAACTTAAGTGTCAAAAGTGAATCAATTAAAACTATATGGAAGAATAAAATGTAAGGATTATTGATGTAATTTACTCAACAATTATAAGCAATTGAAAGAAATTGAGGTAAATTCGTAAATTCATAGTGAAAATCGAGTTAATTGAAACTAGAGGGACTAAAATTCATGAAACTTTATCATTGTACAGAAGAGCATGTAGATCATGTAGATCTCCAGTGTGTTGGGCTGAGGTGGGTGATGCACCTTTGTTGGGTCCAGAGTTAGTTCAAGAAACTACAGAGAAAGTTGCACTTATCCGTAAGAGGCTAGCTACGGCTTAGAGTCGCCAGAAAAGTTATGCCGACCGTAGGAGGAGACCTTTGTCATTTGAGGTGGGTGATCATGTCTTCTTGAAAATATCACCTAGACGGGGTTCGATGAGGTTTGGGAAGAGTGGGAAGTTATCCCTT